AGGGTTGAATGGGTATTGTGACAGGTAGAGGGTTGGATGAGTATCCTGACAGGTAGAAGGTTGGATGGGTATCCTGACAGGTAGAAGGTTGGATGGGTATCCTGACAGGTAGAAGGGTATCATGACAGGTAGAAGGTTGGATGGGTATCCTGACAGGTAGAAGGTTGGATGGGTATCCTGACAGGTAGAAGGTTGGATGGGTATCCTGACAGGTAGAAGGTTGGATGTGTATTGTGACAGGTAGAGGGTTGAATGGCTATTGTGACAGGTAGAGGGTTGGATGAGTATCCTGACAGGTAGAAGGGTATCATGACAGGTAGAAGGTTGGATGGGTATCCTGACAGGTAGAAGGTTATCCTGACAGGTAGAAGGTTGGATGGGTATCCTGACAGGTAGAAGGTTGGATGGGTATCCTGACAGGTAGAAGGTTGGATGGGTATTGTGACAGGTAGAGGGTTGAATGGGTATTGTGACAGGTAGAGGGTTGGATGAGTATCCTGACAGGTAGAAGGGTATCATGACAGGTAGAAGGTTGGATGGGTATCCTGACAGGTAGAAGGTTGGATGGGTATCCTGACAGGTAGAAGGTTGGATGGGTATTGTGACAGGTATAGGGTTGGATGGGTATCCTCACAGGTAGAAGGTTGGATGGGTATCCTCACAGGTAGAAGGGTATCATGACAGGTAGAAGGTTGGATGGGTATTGTGACAGGTAGAAGGTTGGATGGGTATTGTGACAGGTAGAGGGTTGGATGGGTATTGTGACAGGTAGAGGGTTGGATGGGTATCCTCACAGATAGAAGGTTGGATGTGTATCATGACAGGTAGAAGGTTGGATAGGTATTGTGACAGGTAGGTTGGATGGGTATTGTGACAGGTAGAAGGTTGGATGTGTATCCTGACAGGGAGAGGGTTGGATGGGTATTGTGACAGGTAGAGGCTTGGATGAGTATCCTGACAGGTAGAAGGTTGGATGGGTATTGTGACAGGTAGAGGGTTGGATGAGTATCCTGACAGGTAGAGGGTTGGATGGGTATCCTCACAAGTAGAAAGGTATCCTGACAGGTAGAAGGTTGGATGGGTATTGTGACAGGTAGAGGGTTGAATGGGTATTGTGACAGGTAGAGGGTTGGATGAGTATCCTGACAGGTAGAAGGTTGGATGTGTATCATGACAGGTAGACATGTTTACTGTCATGAATCAACATAAAAGACATAACATAAACCACATAATTTGAAAGGCCAGCAATGTTCAATTGGCAATATTCATAAAACTGATACTGATAGACAGTTTGCTTTTGATAACAATCTACATCAACAGCTTCTTGAATGTCTTACTCTCACAATGCCAGATTGGCCTCAATGACAAATCAAATTGAAAAAAAAATATATATTCTTAAACTTGCACTGCATCAATAGATTTTGTGTAGAAAACACCACACTTCAAATAAAAAGTTGTCACCATGGTAATTTCCTTTGTTATTTCGGAGTACTTACCTTTATCATACGAGGACAATGATGAGATAGATGCACTACTTGTCACTGACATTTTATACACAGGTAATGAAGAAGCTGACGGCATCCTGGCCATATGCATTTAGTTACTGCTCTCACATTGTAATCTGATTTAATCACAGATGTGCAATTGGAATTTGATGCACACTGGGACGAGAGACGAAGAAGACTTGATTGAGAGTTTGTGAAAGTTTTCAAGTATGCTTCCTTGGGTTAATGTACTTGAATATGTCACAGTCTTGATAAACAGTACATAGCTGGTGACTAGGCTACCTGACACATGTGTTTAGATATGCCATCAATGCCCCACATCAAAAGATATGTAAAACAGGGGAATTTGCTTTAGTGGTGGCTTCCATTCACTGGTACATGCACCATACACTTTAAAACACGACTGGATAAAGTCAAAAAAATGATCAACTGGTTGGTTTTCTTCTGGCTTGCTTGATGCAGTGAAACACACAAAGTAAATGTCTCAGCAGATTACAGAGCGGGACCCTGAGAAATAACAAGAAACACCTGTTTCATTATTAAAGAAATTCACAATTGTCAAAACGCGGCCAACCTATTGTGCCATTAAACACAAATTAGGAATAGCGGTGACTTGGAAACACGAATAACAAAAAAATCACATTCATCCGTCAATACCGTAAACTTTATACACAGGCTATGATTAGTAATTCCACTCTCTATGATTAGTAATGCCACTCTGATGATTTACACACAAAAGATGTTCATCAAAAACACACAAGCTTTAATGCAATCTACCATAACCATAATCAAAACTTCTATTCTTGCTGTAAAATAACCATTCTTTTTTTTTTTATTGGAATCTTGTTTTAGAACTGCCTGTAAAAATTATACTTCATTTTCAGACTCACCGACTTTGGCACAAATTAAAAACCAAATTCAATCTAGATAGATTGATACATAATTCTGATAACCAACTCAATGGGTATTTAAAACTGACGATAGTGTAATTCGGGGCCTGCTCGTGGCACTAACATTAACAGTATGTATTAGAGCAGGCATATTTGACCTTGCCAATTTGTATGTTAGACTGGATAATATCAGGTTCTGTGTATTCACTAGTGCATTTGATTTTTTTTGATGTTTTTTGAATATTTGTTCGATATGGAATACACGTTGTGATGAGCAGCCATTTTAGAATTTTACATATTGTCTTGTGCTCATCCTCACATGTGACATTTGCATTTTTTTCTCTCAAAACTTGTTTTTTGTGTGATTTTGCAAGGCTAGTTGAAAAAATGTTCAGAAACAGTTTTTTATTATATAGTACCATGAGGGTAACCGCAACCAGGCTATTTTGTTGGGTTTTACTATTTTTAGCTTTACCAATCACGATATTATGTTATTTATATACATACATGTATGTATATGTCAAATATTAAGAGATATTGAGATTAAGTTCTCAAACCATGGTACTTCGCATTATGGCAGAGAAATTATTTAACAGTTAATGATTATTTTTTTCAAATATTATAATAAACATTTTTTTAAATAAACATTATCTAGCACTGAAAACAATAGAATTTACTGTTCTGTAAACAATAGTATACGCATTCATTTAAGAAGTATTTGCACTTATTCCAGCATTTGAAATTTTCCTTATTTTTGGATAAAGTATTTTAGAAAAACTGAACATGTTTACATGTTTAATATGTATAGTGAATAACAGAAAATACAATCACTGAACACAAACTATGATACGACCATTCAGACACACCTTTTGGCTCATGCCCACATGCTACAATCTCCATCATGGATACCAATAATGATAATTGTGCAAGAAAAACAAGACTGTATTTTGAATAATCCAGAGTGACAGCTGATTTGACTTAATTATATAGATCCTGTATTTTTACACCATTTCAACATATTTACACTGACCATATGTTTATAAATACAACAATGTATATTTCAGTGCCTTGTACGAATTGTTGATGAAGGAACTACGCTCCCCAAGGTTTGTAGAGAAAACAACATTTTCCATTCCCAACTGGACTACCATTCCCAACTAGACTACCATTCCCAACTGGACTACCATTCCCAACTAGACTACCATTCCCAACTAGACTACCATTCCCAACTAGACTACCATTCCCAACTGGACTACCATTCCCAACTGGACTACCATTTCCAACTAGACTACCATTCCCAACTAGACTACCACTCCCAACTAGACTACCACTCCCAACTAGACTACCACTCCCAACTAGACTACCACTCCCAACTAGACTACCACTCCCAACTAGACTACCACTCCCAACTAGACTACCACTCCCAACTAGACTACCACTCCCAACTAGACTACCACTCCCAACTAGACTACCACTCCCAACTAGACTACCATTCCCAACTAGACTACCATTCCCAACTAGACTACCATTCCAAACTAGACTACCACTCTCAACTAGACTACCATTCCCAACTAGACTACCATTCCCAACTAGACTACCACTCCCAATTAGACTACCATTCCCAACTAGACTACCATTTCCAACTAGACTACCATTCCCAACTAGACTACCATTCCCAACTAGACTACCATTCCCAACTAGACTACTATTCCCAACTAGACTACATGTACCATTTCC